GAAAGGTGGTCTGTGTGCGGTTCTCCAAAAAGCACAGCAATAACTGCTAACATCTTATGGGAAAGGAACTTCGTTTTTGGTTTAAATGGGTTTGCTTCACCAATAATATTTTGGATATTAGCTTTCAAGATGTGAAGTGGATACTGCGAAAACCGTTTTGAAGCCAAATTGGCTGATTTTGAGTCAAGGTGTGCCGAATTAGAAAGGTGGGCTGAGTGCGGTTCTCCCAAAAGCACAGCAATAACTGCTAACATCTGTTGGGAAAGGGAACCTGAGCAAGGATAATGAACCTCTTTAAGGGTTTTAGTGAGGGGGTACTCAAGAAAAGGAAAAGCACCCCTTTTAGTGTCTTAGGGCTAGGGAACCTGTGCAAGGTAGATCACTCCTTTACATGTCTTAGAGTTAGGGAACCCGAGCAAGGATAAGGAACCCCTTTAAGTGTTTTAGGGTTTGGAAACCCGAGGAAATGTAGAACACCCCTTTAAGCGTCTTAGGGTTAGGGAACCTGAACAAGGAAGATCACTCCCTTATGTATCTTAGAGTAAGGGAACCCGAGCAAGGATAAGGTTGTTGGGTTGTGTTTAACGTCGCTTTTAACAGTATTCCAGTCATATCACGGCGTGTCAGCTTAATGTGGTCGGAAAGCCCGAAGTGATGCAGGTCTGAGGCGTTTACCACTTTGGTGAAACCCACGAGCATGGGTGCTGACAAACCTAGAAACATAATCGGGGCGAACCGGGATTCGAACCCACAATCATAGGTTTCTGGTGTGCCCAAGGGACGCAACTCTGCACAGCGAATCGCCGCGCCTTAGACGACTGGGCCAACCGCGCCCCCAGCAAGGATAAAGAACCCCTTTAAATGTTTTAGGGTTTGGAAACCTGAGCAGGGGTAGAGCACCTCTTTAAGTGTTTTGGGATATCTGAGCAGGGACAAAGAAGCTCTTTAAGTGTCTTAGGGTTAGGGAACTCGAGCAAAGGTAAGGCACCCCTTCAAGTGTCTTAGGGTTAGGGTACCTGAACAAGGGTAAAGCACCCTTTCAAGTGTCTAAGGGTTAGGGTACCTGAGCAAGGATAAGGAACCCCTTTACGTATTTCAGGGTTTGGTAACCTGAGCAAGGGTACAGCACCCCTTTAAGTGGCCTAGGGTTAGGCAACCTGAGCGAGGATAGGAACCCCTTTAAATGTCTTAGGGTTTTTGAACCTGAACACGGTTATTGAACCCCTTTAAGTGTTTTCGGGTTAGGGTGCCCAAGCAAGGATAGAGCACCCCTTTAAGTGTCTTAGGGTTAGGAAAGGGTTGGCTTCCATTTTAGGGTCTTCGGGTTAGGAAACCAGGTACAATGCCCCCCTTTTTTTCTTAGGGTTAGGTCACCAGGGCAAGGGTAGGACACCCCTTATATAGTCTTAGGGTTAGGTCACCAGGGCAAGGGTAGGACACCCCTTATATAGTCTTAGGGTTAGGTCACCAGGGCAAGGGTAGGACACCCCTTATATAGTCTTAGGGTTAGGTCACCAGGGCAAGGGTAGGACACCCCTTATATAGTCTTAGGGTTAGGTCACCAGGGCAAGGGTAGGACACCCCTTATATAGTCTTAGGGTTAGGTCACCAGGGCAAGGGTAGGACACCCCTTATATAGTCTTAGGGTTAGGTCACCAGGGCAAGGGTAGGACACCCCTTATATAGTCTTAGGGTTAGGTAACCAGGGCAAGGGTAGGACACCCCATTTTGGAACCAGTTCACGGCAAGGGAACCCCTTTTTAGTGTCCCGGAATAGATCCTGAGTGATCACTGTCCAAAAGTTATGTTCTTATATTAGAGTCAGCTGTTTTTTGTTTTGTTTTTATGCATGATTACCAATGCGTGATTAGCAATATTGACACAGTAACACAGGCACTCGGTCATTGTGAAGGATGTATTTGGGTTTACCTCAGTTTTGAACACCATATAGTATCTGGCACCTCAGACGAGCTGACCCTGGCAAGTCTTTGTATCCTGCACATCTTTGGCATTCTGGATCTCTGGGCCACTTAAATATGACAGAATCTGTTGCTTTGAATTTTGTCTGATGATGAATCGTGTTTGTTATTTTCATAATTATACTACTCAAAAGAAGTTAAGGATCACCCCCATTCTTTCATATTGGTAATGTTAATCTGTCATGGCGTGAGAGATTAACTATTGTAATATGAAAGAATCAGGTGATCCTTAACTTCTTTTGAGTAGTATATATCTTATTTCATATATATACTCACACGCAAAAGAAACGCAAGTGGTTTTAAGCAAATAGGTAACAAACATGGAACCATTAATTGATACGAGTTTTAGCATGTAGTGAAGCCTGATGGTGTTATCAATATTTTTGGTTGCATTTTGGAAGCCTCGAGTAAAAACGCAACATAAAAAACGAATCGCCAAAACGCACCATTTTAATGAATATGTGGGTATCATGCACCCATTTCTCGCGAAAACGAACTGTCACGAACTGTGGTGGGTATAAAACTGTGGCCGATTCTTGGACCCACCACTCTTTGGTCAACAATGCCACGCCTAACTCAAATTCAGAGAAACCAGGCTATCGGACGTTTGGAAGCTGGAGAGTCTGTCCAAGATGTTGCCCGTCATTTCAACGTTAACATAACCACAATTTACCGTCTCCTGCATCGATACAATGCTACTCAGACCACAGATGTCCTTCCTCGGAGCGGTCGTCCTAGGGTAGCACACCTCGACAAGATCGGCAGATTACCCGTCAACACCAGCGACATCCGTTCCTTACTGCAAGTGAAAGTGCTCGACAGACCATAGGAACATAGGAACCGTTCAAACAACCTCAGATGTCACCGACCAGCACGTCGTTCTGTTCTCCAACCACGGCATCACCAAGCACGACTTCAGTGGGCACAGGGTCATCGCAATTGGCGTCATCGTGAGTGGAGGCGTGTCATCTTCTCTGATGAAAGTCGCTTTTGTGTCTCCCATGCAGACGGAAGAGTCAAAATTTGGCGGCGTCGAGGTGATCGTTTCGCTGACAGAAACGTTGTGGAAAGGGATCCATGGGGTGGACCTAGCCTCATGATATGGGCAGGGATTGGACTTAATGCGAGACTTGGACCCATGTGCTTTCTGAATGTTGGTCAAGGTCGGGGACACGGCGTCACTGCTCAGCGGTATATCGACCAAGTGATCAGACCCCACGTTGTTCCATTTTTTGCAAAACATCAACAACACATTTTCCAGCAGGATAACGCTCGCCCCCATGTTGCCAGAGCTACCATGGCCTTTCTGCAACAACACAACATCCGTGTTCTACCGTGCCCAGCCATCAGCCCTGATCTGAACCCCATCGAGCACTTGTGGGATGAGGTTCAAAGGCGTCTGCACAATGTGCGCCCAGTCCCTACAACTGCTGATGAACTACGCACAGCTGCTCTGGACCCCTAGGGCCTTCACAAATCGTCTGATCCACTCAATGTACAGGAGATGTGTGGCAGTGATCAATGCTAATTTTGGTCACACCAGGTATTGACCGACATTTTGGGTATTGACCCAAAACTGTGTAAGCCCTTAACATTTGAAAAAAACCAATTATGCCATCTGCCTTTTAATCCATTAAACTGCCTTCAGTCAAATTTTTGTCAATCTTGCCCTATTAGTATTTCTTGTCTTTACTGTTGAAAATAAATACCATGTTTACTGCATTCTCTACTTGCGTTTCTTTTGCGTGTGAGTATATATATATATATATATATATATATATATATATATATATATTTAGTTATTTGTTTTGAAAGGTGTACCGAAATTGCCCTGATTATCTTAAGTGAAATTTGTCAAGTGATGGTATTTCAAATAACTATGAGAACCCCGTATGTCTGCATCCAGTCATACAAATCAACAAATATTAAACAATTTTGCAAGTTTATTTCATCTAAGTTTTATTTATTTCCTTTTGTTGTATTTTAGACAATAACGGGGTCATTTTAAATAGTGTCATAAATATTTCAAATCAGTGCTCCAGAGTATTGGAGTATTTACTCACGTGTTATCATTCACTTAGGCGTTGATGGTTTTCTTTGGGTATTCAATATGTGATTGCTCTCTTGGGTCAAGTCTACATCGTGTATTTGTAAACCATTAAGCAGTCTTTTCAAAAATAATTCTGCTAAAATGCTTTATGTGACTTCTTATGTCATGCATGAGTTGCCAAGTCACCTGTCAAGCTCATGCCTGTCTACTTCAGCAACCCCTGCTTGCCATAAAACTATGCTTTTCGTATGAGGCAACTAACGGGGTTGGATGGTCTGCCTGCACGTGACATGTAAAAACATGGCATGGTTCACAGTGGCTGACAGTGTCAATATCAGATAAACCCATGAATTGATAACCTGTGTAACACTGTATGCATTTGACCAAATCTTAAAACTGTCCAAATTACAGATGTGTTTGTCATTTGTGACTGTGTGTGTAACTGTATGAATAGTTACATTTTGATATATATCAATGTTATAACTACTGGCAGCTCGTATGGGGCCCGGGTTAGAACAGATCCCCAGTAACCCATGCTTGTCGTAAGAGGCGACGATCCCCAGTAACCCATGCTTGTTGTAAGAGGCGACGAAATAGATCGGGTGGTCACGCTATAAAAAGATAAATACTGAGGACATTCTAGATGTTTCAATGTATATAACATAGGGGTAAACACATCATTGTTGAAGTCAATGAAAAGGGACGAATAAGAATTGATTCTAATCAAACAAGTATGTTTTTCCCATACTGATATTTTTGTATTTACAAGTTTGACAGTGTGTACAAATCAAATTCTCGTTTCAGTTTCAGTTCTTGCCTGATGTGCAGTTCAGGTGTACCTGAAGTCCACTTCCAGTGTGCCCTATGTCCATTTCCGGTGTGCCCGATGTCCCCTTCTGGTGTGTCTGTTGTCTACTTCTGGTGTGTCTGATGTTTATTTCCGGTGTGCCTGATGTCGCTTCCGGTGTGTCTTAAGTCCACTTCTGGTGTGTCTGTTGTCCGCTTCCGGTGTGTATGAAGTCCACTTCTTGTGTTCCTGAAGTCCACTTCCGGTGTGTCTGATGTCCATTTCCGGTGTGCCTTATGTCCGCTTCCGGTGTGTCTGTTATCCGCTTCCGGTGTGTATGAAGTCCACTTCTTGTGTGCCTGAAGTCCACTTCCGGTGTTTCTGATGCCCATTTACGGTGTGCCTTATGTCCGCTTCCGGTGTGCCTGATATCCCCTTCTGGTGTGTCTGTTGTCCACTTCTGGTGTGTCTGATGTCCATTTCCAGTGTGCCTGATGTCCCCTTCCGGTGTGTCTGAAGTCCACTTCTGGTGTGTCTGTTGTCTGCTTCCGGTGTGTCTGAAGTCCACTTCTGGTGTGTCTGATGTCCATTTCCAGTGTGCCTGATGTCCCCTTCCGGTGTGTCTGAAGTCCACTTCTGGTGTGTCTGTTGTCTGCTTCCGGTGTGTCTGAAGTCCACTTCTGGTGTGCCTGATGTCCTCTTCCGGTGTGTCTGAAGTCCCCTTCTGGTGTGCCTGATGTCCCCTTCCGGTGTGTCTGAAGTCCCCTTCTGGTATGTCTGTTGTCTGCTTCCCGTGTGTTTGAAGTCCACTTCCGGTGTGTCTGATGTCCATTAACGGTGTGCCTGATGTCTGTTCCCGGTGTGTCTGATGTTCGCTCCGATTTGTCTGATGTCCATTTACAGTGTGCCTGATGTCCACTTCTGGTGTGTCTGAAGTCCATTTACGGTGTGCCTGATGTCTTCTTCTGGTGTGTCTGAAGTCCATTTACGGTGTGCCTGATGTCTGCTTACGGTGTGCCTGATGTCTGCTTCCGGTGTGTCTGAAGTCCAGTTCCAGTGTGCCTGATGTCCGCTTCCAGTGTGTCTGAAGTCCATTTACGGTGTGCCTGATGTCTGCTTACGGTGTGCCTGATGTCTGCTTCCGGTGTGTCTGAAGTCCAGTTCCAGTGTGCCTGATGTCCGCTTCCGGTGTGTCTGAAGTCCATTTACGGTGTGCCTGATGTCTGCTTCTGGTGTGTCTGAAGTCCATTTACAGTGTGCCTGATGTCTGCTTCCGATGTGTCTGATGTCCATTTACAGTGTGCCTGATGTCCACTTCTGGTGTGTCTGAAGTCCATTTACGGTGTGCCTGATGTCTGCTTCCGGTGTGTCTGAAGTCCAGTTCCAGTGTGCCTGATGTCTGTTCACGGTGTGTCTGATGTTCGCTCGGATGTGTCTGATGTCCATTTACAGTGTCCCTGAAGTCCAATTCCAGTGTGCCTGAAGTCCAGTTCCAGCATGGCTGATGTCATGTACATGGTGTGGCGTGGCGTGGCGTGGCGTGGCGTGGCGTGGCGAGGTGTGGTGTGGTGTGGCGTGGTGTGGCATGGTGTGGCGTGGCGTGGCGTGGTGTGGTGTGGTGTGGTGTGGTGTGGTGTGGTGTGGTGTGGTGTGGTGTGGTGTGGTGTGGTGTGGTGTCCATTCTCAAAACAACAGAAAATGAAATGCAGTTGCAAGTAAATGTTAAGACGATATTATATTCTCATAACAGTAGGAAAGCTATAGTTGAAAAAGTGGCTTTGTAATGTACATCATTTGCATGATATGCATTCGTGATACATTATAAAGATAGAATTTCAAGTCAAGGTGTTATTCTGTATGGCAAAGTTCACCTGAGTTACAGAAAAACAATACACTAGGACTAGGCAGGATGTGATGTGTCAGCATCTTTCACAATTTGTGATAACCAAACAAAGATAATTTGGATATACAATTACATCTGGTACCTCTTGGGCCTTCGGACTGCAATCTCTGCAGGGCCTGTTAGTCCATAGCTATAGTACCTCAAGAGAGGCTAATCCCACAATGTGCGTGCGTGCGTGCGTGCGTGCGTGCGTGCGTGCGTGCGTGCGTGCGTGCGTGCGTGCGTGCGTGCGTGCGTGCGTGCGTGCGTGCGTGCGTGCGTGCGTGCGTGCGTGCGTGCGTGCGTGCGTGCGTGCGTGCGTGCGTGCGTGCGTAAGAGAACTGCCAATATGTCCGTGAGCTCCATTTCCTCTTTTAAGTAACAACAAATTTATTGTTTGGTAGATTTATTTTCAGGAGAAATTCGTGAACAGTTTTATCTTTATTGTCCATCAAATCCAAACAATTCATTTGTTGTCGCCTTACAGAGTCTAGCAGCATGCTTTGATTTGTGAAACAACCAGATTCTAATTAAAAGCGATTTTATTTAAAGGTGACAGGTAACAAAACTGTTCATTACTTGAGATTACATTATCTAGTATCATTTTATTCAATGGAGTGGACACTGTATGTTTACATATCGTAAATTCATGTTAGTTCTATTTTCTCTGTAAGCATTGCCATGACGAGCGCACCAAAACAGGTGTCTGCCTGACGAAATGGTGTAGCCTACGTTTCACATTAATGGAGTCCTGTGTCTCCTGTGAGCTACATTATGGAAAGCGTTAAAAATCAAAGACATGACCAAAGTGAGCACTATAATATTTTGTGATTGCAAAACGTATTTAAATTTCATTCAGAAATAAAAGCATTAAAGTATTTGTTTTTGAGGTGTCAACAAGGCGATGGACACCACTGTCAAATTTTTACCTGATATTTACACAAACCTTTGTATTAAAGATATCACTTGAAGCCAGGCTGTCGATGTAAACAATAAATATTCAACACACGGAGTATTTCCTTGAAGAATATGGTGGTGAATATAGAGTCACGAATTTACTGTGCGTTTTACTCTTGGGGTACCTCGGGTGACCTTAACAATGACATGCGTTTCCCTTTAACTTTATACCACTTATTTGCAATATAGGCTAAACTCCGGAAAAATAATTATCTACTAAGGATTGTTATATCTGAAGTCCTTCTGACACATTGCTCAATTATTTCTTGTGCTTGAAATAAGAGAAAGCAATTAAAGGCAAAGACAAAGTTGCCCACAGACCAATGTAAATTTGAAAAGTGCAGAATTTGTGTTTGTTTTTTAGTCCAGTAACTGTCCCGTCTCCCTCAGACTGTTATGGCGGAGGTCACGTGACGTTACAGGTTATCAAAGAAACTCTTTCTTTGGCTCCTGTTACAAAAAAAGTTCCTTGTCCGTATTAATACGTGTAAATTAGGAGTATAATTATGGCACTTCTTTCATTCCAAAACATGTCACACAAACTGACGCATTGGGCACCAAACGTCCTCTCAGTTGTCTGGCCGAAATCATAAATCATCTTTTGACGGATCCAAAGTTTAGTGCCTCGCATAAATTGTGGCAGAAAGACAAAATCCTTATTTTATACTGGCTCGCATTATCCTGATTATTGACCATGTACATTTATAATTTATATGGATGCTATGTGCACTGTTCACACCTTTTGTTCATTCATTCATTCATTCATTCATTCATTCATTCATTCATTCATTTATCTATTTATTCATTCATCCAAACATTCATCCAAACATTTATTCATCCAAACATTCATTCATCCAAACATTTATTAATATTTTCTCAATCATACAAAGATCAACATATTTACTTATATATTTACTCACTCTGTTGAATCTCTTCACTTTTCTGAAACATTGTTTTAGGGTTAGTTTTAACATTTATACATAGGCCTATAGATACACACATATTACCGTGACTGTTTTGTTTTTATTGAACAAATAGTAATTTTGAAGCTGCCTCGGTATATGCAAGGCGAGGGGCGCAAAATGTATGTACTATTACCGAATGAATGTGTGTGTGTGTGTGTGTGTGTGTGTGTGTGTGTGTGTGTGTGTGTGTGTGTGTGTGTGTGTGTGTGTGTGTGTGTGTACTATAACTACATTTTAACATTTAGCATTTTTAGTTTTGTCTTTTGACAGGTCTATCGTGAATATTCTGAATCGAGGTTTTAACAGATCACCCCCTCCGCCCCCACCCCCGCCCCAAACAGATCGCGACAAGCATACTCTCAACAGCAGTGGTAACGAAAGCAAACTGTCACAATTTGTATATTCCAGTGCATTGCCGCGCTTAGGCATGACTAGGAAAATTGCAAAAGCTTTTAAAGCTGTGGTTTCAGCACAGTCGATAGCTCGTCGCATTTAAAAAATGAAAATTCATAAGTTCGAACTTGCCGTGTCGCATTTTGTTTTTTAAATGATCTTTATATAGAAATAAACGTGCACAGCTGAATGAATCGTTTACCGTGTCGTATGCATGAATAGTGCTTGTGGAAAACAAAAGTAATGTAAATTATTTGTTTGCTAGACCTCACACATAGATTCAGGCTTGAAGCCGCAATGTCAAATTTGGTCTATTTGTCAGATATTTTTCTGCCGCTTCACTCAGTTAGCAACCCATCTTATGACAAGCACAGGCTGTTGCTGGGGACGGTAAACGTCTGTTTTTAATATATTTCTTTGCCACAAATCAGTCAGTGAGACGATGAATATACCTGTCGACGCAATAACATCGTCCCAGAAAACAGCCCAGCCCAGCCCAGCCCAGTTTAAAAAGTTCTCTCAGGCACAGGATAAACGCCGCGCGTGCACCTGTCTCATATTGTCTTAACACAACCCGGGTGGTGTTATCAGGATTGAGCTTGCTGTCACCGGATCCACACCTTGGTGCATGGAAGTTGTATTTGATCAAATTTACGTCAGGATTTCACCATTAACGCAGTTCCCGTTTTTCCGCACATCTGAGCTTTAGTATAACAGCTAAAACCGTTTTACCTTTACTGTATGATATCGATAGAATCACATAATATTTCAGAATTAAGTTCAGTTAAGTAAAATGTCATCTTTTCATTTTTATCTTGTCTGGTAACCACAGGTATGACATATCAAGGCCACCAAATGCAATGACACAATGTGTGTGTGTGTGTGTGTGTGTGTGTGTGTGTGTGTGTGTGTGTGCGTGCGTGCGTGCGTGCGTGCGTGCGTGCTTGCGTGCGTGTGTGTGTTGGGGGGGGGGGGGGGGGGGGGGGGGGGGACCGGACCATTAAAGTTGCATATCCACTTTCAGAACAAAGTGAGCATGTTTTCTTCCATATTCAGTCAGTCAGTCAGTCAGTCAGTCAGTCAGTCAGTCAGTAAGTAAGTATGGTTTTACGCCGCTTTTAGCAATATTCCAGCAATATCACGGCGGGGGACACCAGAAATGGGCTTCACACATTGTACCCATGTCGGGAATCGAACCCGGGTCTTCGGCGTGACGATCGAACGCTTTAACCACTAGGCTACCCGACCCGACCGCCCCATCTTCCATATTGAAGCAGGCAATCAATACATTAAGCACATTTAATATAAGAGGCTTCTGCTGAATGATCTGAAAATGAATGAACTTTAGTGGCTATGATACCATGTCCAACATTGTGCAACATTGTTCAACATTAGAGCAAAACGGCCAATTTAGCCTCCCAACACCACACTATATGAGTTTTGGTCAACCCTTCCATTAATACAAGTTAAATACGGAGAAAGAGTATACAGCAATGTGTTTCAATGTGACATTCTGAGAGAAATGGGTCTTTCATCAGTTAGGTACTCTATTTATACAACGTGTAGTGTTGCTAATAGGTTGACATCCAACACATCAGCGCTTTCCTCACCAACAGCAAGCACAGCACATGGGAA